GGGGGGAACGCAGTGAGGACGGGCCAGGGTGGAGCCCACCATAGCCAAGAGGGCGGGACCATGGGCCGCGGGGACAGGGCTCAGCAGGGCGACCCGATTCATTACCAAGATGGAAGATGACACTTGGCTGCCGGTCCCGGGAGAGGGCTGATTTACGGCGGAGCCGGGGCGCGGGACATCCGTCAGCGAGGCGCCGCGTGCGCGTCAGCGGGGGCATTAATAGCGTGTTATTAGCCGCCGGGTGAAGGATGCCCCGCCAAGCGGCGATTTGCTGTTATTTATTATGAAGGCGCGCCAAGCCCGGCCACAGCCCTGTCCCCCACCTCTCCCCACCGCGGGGGTCCCTGGCTGGAGAGGAACTTGTGAAGGACCCAGGGGCCGGAGGGGCCTCAGAGCCCCAGGAGACCCCCCCACCCCACCCCTGCAGCTCTGGGCGCTTCTCCACCACCTCCATATCCTGTTGCCTCCCCCTAGCCTGGTGGGGAGGAGGGGGCGCACGCTGAGCACTTGGAAGCCTCGGGTTCCACCCCCAGCACCCCAGAGGGACCCCTCCCCCTCCACCAAGCAATCACGGCTGATGCTGAACAACCAACCTGGGATCCCCCACCCCGCACTCATCACTAGTCTCAAAGGACAGATCTGGAACCAAGCGGTGCAGCTGGGGGCTGGAGGGGGGTCCCCTGAGAGCTGCTCTGCCAGGTATGGGGACTCCAGGAGGACGATCCCCACCACGGAGGCCCAGCAGGAGGGACCACCAGCTCCCAACCCACCTGGTCCACCTGGTCCCACACCCCAGACAGGATGAGGGTTGCAGCTCTGGGGGACAGGGTGGGGCTGTCCCCGCCTCCAAAGCCACGGGCCACAGGGTCACCAACAGGGTCCAGATGAGGAAAGTGAGCCCGTAGTCCTCCAAGCCTTGGGGGGCCGCCCACAGGAGCTGCCTGCATTGGCATGTGGGGGAGGATGGAGGGTAGGGGTCCCCATTCCTGCTTGGGTGCCCAGCTCCTCCCAGAAGTGTGCCCCCCCACCTCTGTGTCCCCTCCCAGCTCCAGCCTGCTGGCTGGCTGGTGCCTCACTCACTCACACACCAGCTCAAGTCTGCAGGATCCCCACAGCTACAACAAGTGACCCCCCATAAAAGCCGGAGATTTACCAGGTTTGATTTGATGGCCTCATAAACCATCAAAGGCACCCCAGGGACTCAAAAGGCCCCGGGCACCCTGGCAATGAAAGGGCTTCTCGGTGGGGGTGAGAGGCCCGCTCCCCCCGCTCCAGCCCGCCCTGGCCCTGCGGCTCTGGAGAGCTGCGGCAGGGGGTGACCAGGCGGCCTCCGCCAGGGCAAGGCCAGTCCCGCCCCAGCTCTGGGCCATCCATCAGCGGTTCTGGAAGGTGCGATTAGACTTGCTGACGTGCTGGCTGGGGCACTGGGCCTGGCTGTGAGCTGAGTGGGCAGCGGGAAGGGATGTCTGCGCCAGAGGCCGCGGGGGCAGGCCGTGGGGTGGGCTTAAAAAGTGCCCCCCGCTCAGCGTCCGCCCTAGAGGGGCAGAGTCCAGGGGCCACCCGCAGCCCTGGCCAGGCCTGGCTGGCAGACCCGGGAGGGATGCCCTCGCCGAGGGGGCTGGGCAGGGAGCCTGAGACAGGCCGTGTGCCCCCAAGCATGCTGTCCTGGCCGTTTCCAGCGAGCTGACATGGACCACAACCCCGGGACCCCCGTAGAGAGGGACAGACCCGGTATGTGTCATGGGGAGGCCAACATCACTTGTGTCATGGGGGCAGATGCCAACCACCACTGACGTGACATGGGGGGCAGGCGCTGACATGACCTGTGACGTGGGGGGTGTTGCTGAGGCCTGGCTGTGGCCACCCTGCTGCCAGCCTCCTCCTCCCTTTCCTGAGCTGGCACAGCGCTGGGCTCCGTGCAGCTGGCACCCTCGCCCTCCCTCAAGCTGGTGCCCTTGGGGCTGGAGAGGTGGTACCCGGGGAGGTGCTGGTCCCATGGGGAGCTGACGGGAGTTCAATCCCTGACATCACATGTGCTCCCCGAGCACTGCCAGGAATGAGTGGCCCCAAGCAAACAAAGCCAGTGCTCTCCTGGGGTCAAAGGGCAGAGGTCAGAGAAGTCTGCTGTGATAAAGTGCCTCCAGGTGACTGAGGGGACTAAGGACCAGCCATCAGGATGCCCCCACGTGCCCTGAGAGCAAGAGACTGGGGTGCAGGAGGACGAACCCCCAAACATGCAGGCAGGGTGAGGGTGATGGGCTGAGGGAGGGCGGGGGTCCGAGTTCGGAGGAGGCTGTGAGGAATCACTGGTGCACTCTGGGCCCAGCAGGGACTTGTGGGGAGAGGGTGTGAGAGACCCCCAGAGCCCAAGCATCGGGGACCACCCAACACAGCCCCTTTCCTAGCCCCTGAGAAACCTCAGCTCCCCGTTTCCAGCCCTGACCCCCCTTCCCACTCCCCCTCCCTCACTGACTTCCAGCCAGGGTGCTCGGTGGTCCCTGGCCTGCTCTGGGCAAAACCCGCAATGAGGCCTTTCATCCTGGTGTGAGCATGTGGCCCGCCACACTGATGCCCACGTGTCCAGATTACAGGCTGGCGAGGTGGCATGGACAGACGGGTGTGAGGGCAGTGGGTGGGTGACAAATGTGCAGGTGGGCGATGGGTGAATGGAGAGGTGGGATGGAGGGATGGAGGGATGGATGGGTGGATGGATGGATGGATGGATGGATGGATGAATGGATGGGTGGGTGGATGGATGGATAGGTGTATGGATGGATGGGTGGGTGGGTGGGTGGGTGGATGGATGGATGGATGAGTGGGTGATGGACAGAAGTGTAGGTGGATGGATGGATGAACAGGGAGGTGGGTGGGGAGTGGATGGCTGAGAGGGAAAATGAGTGAGTGAACAATACAGATGAAAGCATAGGGACAGATGGCATGAGGTGGGTGGATGGACTGATGGGTGGAGGGGTAGGTGGGCGGATGGGTGGATGGATGAATGAATAGGTCGGTAGATGGGTGAGTGGTTGGGTGGATGGAGGAAGAGATGAGTGGGCAGAGGGCTGAGTCAGTGGGTGGGTAAGAAGCCGGAAGGGTACCCGAGGGGTAGACGAGTGGACAGCTGGACGCAAGCGGGGATGGATGGACATGTGAATGGTCAAAGCAGGCAGTTGGACGGACAGAGGAATGGACAAGCGGAGAGCTGAGGAGGTAGATGGATGCGTAACTGAAAGGGTCAACGAGGGGGTAGGCGGCTGGATGGGGAGTTGGACGGAAGGGTGGGTGGACGGGCGCGTGGGTGGGTGGACTAGTGGGTAATGGGTGGCGGGTAGGTGGCTGAGTGGGAGGACGGATAGATTCTGCAGGGTAAGTGGGTGGGGCTGGCGTGCTAGCGCAGCAGGGAGGGTGTTGCCTTGCACGATGCTGACCTGTGTTTGAGCCCTGGTACCCCACATGGTCCCCCAACTCCACCAGGTATGATACCTGAGCGCAGAGCCAGGAGTCAGCCCTGAACACCGCTACGTGTGGCGGAGAGGGGAAATGAAGGCGCAGGTGTGGCCTGGCCAAGGAAGCAGCAGCCCCTGGGGAGTGAGTGTGCCCCCCGCCCCACCGGGCCCCAGCTGGGCACGCTGACTCCGCTGCTGAGGCCAGCCCGTCGGGCACACAAAGAACCTTCCTGACCCAGAGGCAGGTCTGTGCCGCTGCACACAGCCACGCTCGGTGCTCAGGGACCACTCCTGGTGGGGCTTGGGGGACCCCACGGGGGGGGGCGGGGGGCTGGGGATCGAACCCGTGTTGGCTGCATGCACGACAAACGCCCTGCTCACTGTGCTATCTCTGCGGCCCCCAAACAAACCTTCCTGCCCTTAACTTCTCTCCCACCGCTGTGAACAGGAGAATCTCCAGGGAACGATCCCTGGCAACAGGGCCCTCAGAAAAGGAAGCCTCCCTCCCTTGGTCTTCCTGTCTCTGTCTGTCTGTCTGTCTCTCACCTCCTAAGCAGTGTCCAGGGGACCCAAGGGGCCATTCCCGATGATACTCGGCCAACAGCTCGGGTCCAGAAGCGCAAGAGGCAGCGACAGGACCACACTCAGCAGTACTGCGGGGCGGGTGCCAGGGATTAGACTCGGGGCCTTGCATGTGGGAGGCTTGCAACGCCTCGCCCCGGGCTGTCTCCCTAGCCCAGTCTCCGGCTTTTTAACGCAACTCTATGTAATAAGACAGAAGATAGCTATTTCTTCTTTCCACCCCCCCAGACTAGCTGATGGGCCCTCCAAACTGGGCAGGGGCCAGGCCAGGTTCAGCCTCAAAACCCCCCCCCCGATCCAGAGTGCAGGGCTGGGGGGGGGGGGGTGCGTCTCTGTCGATGGCAGAGAGCAGGTCTGTTGACACTTCCTCCCGTGCCTCGGAAGCACGGGCGACAGGCGGGCCCGGTTTTAACACCCGACAATGCAGCTCCTCGCCCGGCGCCGTTCTCGGCAGTGACGGGCCCTGGCAGCTGTTTTCTGCAGGTTTAGCAACGCCCCCTCCTCCCCCTCCTCCCCCTCCCACCCCCCCCCTTGGAGCTCGCGGGCCTCATGGAAATGAGCTTTTCCCTGCGAGCCTTGGGTCTGCGCCAGCCGCGGATGGATGGAGGCGCGGCGCCCGTTCCAGGGAGAACCGGCAGTTCTCTCTCCATCAGTCCGACATGCCCCAAATCTGCCTGGTCCCCGCGGGCCGACCGCGCCCCGCCTCCTCTGTGAAGACCGTGGAGGGAGATCTCCACAGCACTGGGGGGTGCTGAGCGGGGGTGGGGGGAGGCTGCCAAATTACCCCGCCAGGGGCTCCGAGTCGCGTCCCCGGGGCCCAGGACTGCGACCGTGACGGCGACCTGGATTCCAGGCCAGACGCTGCTCCGAGTCTGAGCTGGGCCCAGGCCGCCACCGCCCGCCCAGTGCCCCTCGCTCTCCTCACCATCTTGTCCCCTCCCCCTCCCCCGGGCAGGTGTCGCCGCAGCAGCTCCGAGGCCGGCGGGCCACCATGGTGGCAGCACAGCCCTCCCCGCCCGCCGCCCACGCCGCCGCCACCCACGCCGCCACCCTCACGGCCACCGTGGTGATGACCACGGCCAGCATGGACCTGCGGGACTGGCTCTTCCTGTGCTACGGGCTCATCGCCTTCCTGACCGAGGCCATCGACAGCACCACCTGCCCGTCCGTGTGCCGCTGCGACAACGGCTTCATCTACTGCAACGACCGGGGGCTCACGGCCGTGCCGCCCGACATCCCCGACGACGCCACCACGCTCTACCTGCAGAACAACCGCATCGGCAACGCCGGCATCCCGCAGGCGCTGCGAGCCAAGGCGCACGTGCGGGTCATCTACCTGTACGCCAACGCGCTGGACGAGCTGCCCGCCAACCTGCCGCGCTCGCTGCGGGAGCTGCACCTGCAGGACAACAACGTGCGCGCCATCGCCCGCGCCTCGCTCGCCCGCCTGCCGCTGCTGGAGAAGCTGCACCTGGACGACAACTCCGTGTCCACCGTGAGCATCGAGGAGGACGCCTTCGCCGACAGCCGCCAGCTGCGGCTGCTCTTCCTGAGCCGCAACCACCTGAGCAGCATCCCGCCGGGCCTGCCCCGCACGCTCGAGGAGCTCCGGCTGGACGACAACCGCATCTCCACCATCCCGCTGCGCGCCTTCCAGGGCCTCGGCAGCCTGCGGCGCCTGGTGCTGGACGGCAACCTGCTGGCCAACCAGCGCATCGCCGACGACACCTTCAGCCGCCTGCAGAACCTCACCGAGCTCTCGCTGGTGCGCAACTCGCTGGCCGCGCCGCCCCTCAACCTGCCCAGCGCCCACCTGCAGCGCCTCTACCTGCAGGACAACGCCATCAGCCACATCCCCGCCAACACGCTGGCCAGGATGCGGGCCCTGGAGCGCCTGGACCTGTCCAACAACAACCTCACCACGCTGCCCCGCGGCCTCTTCGACGACCTGGACAGCCTGGCCCAGCTCCTGCTGCGCAACAACCCCTGGTTCTGCGGCTGCAGCCTCCTGTGGCTGCGGGACTGGGTGAGGGCGCGGGCGGCCGTGGTCAACGTGCGGGGCCTCATGTGCCAGGGCCCCGAGCGGGTGCGGGGCATGGCCATCAAGGACATCACCAGCGAGATGGACGAGTGCTTCGAGCCGGGGGCGCCGGCCGCCGCCGCCCCCGCCCCCAGGACCACGGCCGCCAACCGCGCGGCTGCCACCACGCCCCAGGGCTCGCTCTTCACCCTCAAGGCCAAGCGGCCGGGGCTGCGCCTCCCCGACTCCAGCCTGGACTACCCCATGGCCACGGGGGACAGCGCCAAGACCCTGGTCATCCACGTGAAGCCCCTGACGGCCGACTCCATCCGCATCACCTGGAAGACCACGCTCCCCGCCTCCTCCTTCCGGCTGAGCTGGCTCCGCCTGGGCCACAGCCCGGCCGTGGGCTCCATCACGGAGACGCTGGTGCAGGGGGACAAGACGGAGTACCTGCTGACGGCGCTCGAGCCCAAGTCCACCTACATGATCTGCCTGGTCACCATGGAGACCGGCAGCACCTACGTGGCCGACGAGACGCCCGTGTGCGCCAAGGCCGAGACGGCCGACAGCTACGGCCCCGCCACCACGCTCAACCAGGAGCAGAACGCCGACCCCCTGGCCGGCCTGCCCCTGGCGGGCATCATCGGAGGGGCCGTGGCCCTCGTCTTCCTCCTCCTGGTCCTGGGGGCCATCTGCTGGTACGTGCACCGGGCCAGCGAGCTCCTGTCCCGGGAGCGGGCCTACAACCGGGGCAGCAGGAAGAAGGACGACTACATGGAGTCGGGCACCAAGAAGGACAACTCCATCCTGGAGATGCGCGGCCCCGGGCTGCAGATGCTGCCCATCAACCCGTACCACGCCAAAGAGGAGTACGTGGTACACACCATCTTCCCCTCCAACGGCAGCGGGCTCTGCAAGGCCACGCACACCATCGGCTACGGCACCACGCGGGGCTACCGGGACGGTGGCATCCCCGACATCGACTTCTCTTACACCTGACGCCCCGCACAGGCCGCCGCCTCCCCGCATGGGAGACCCCCACGGCTTGGCCCTGCCCCTGGCCCTCCCCACCGAGCCGACGTGCGTGCGTGTGCACGTGCACACCAGGAAACGTGAGGTCACGCCGATGTCCCCACGGAGAGCCGAGCTTGGGGAGGGCAGATGATTCTGTAGAACACGACAGTGGAGAAAAAAAAAAACCATCCAAGTTTGTGGGTTTTTTTTTTTTCAAAGACCAGAAAGGCAGGAAAGGGGAGGTGGGTGCGAGGGGTGGGGTGGGGATGGGGGCTGTTGGCGTCGCTGAAGACATAATTTATACTGAATTATGCCAGTTGGGGAGGGAAGGACTAAAAATAAGGTTGCAGCGAAAGCTGGGCTGGTGGCTTCGTTCTCTCTAGATCCGGAAAGCGACCACCTGTACCTGGGGCCAGGCCACAAAAGAGCCACGAAGCCCCAGAGTGGCTCCTGCTGGCGCTGGCCGTGGGAGCGAGCTGATGTCTGGTGCCTGGCAGAGGGAATCAGGCAGGAAGGCTCGCGAGCTATTGTCCTGAAGCCTCCCGAGCTTAGCTCCCTCCACAGCCCTGGCTAGGGCCTCTGGCCGCGTTCTTCAAACGATAGATCAAAGACAAGCCTCTCTCCTCTCCTGCCCCTCTCTCGGGCCCCTGCGCCCTCCTAACGGTGGCGATGTTTCTGCCTGCCTGTCTCCTGGCCCTGGCTGTTGTGCCTCCGAGCACAGATGGGCAGGCAGAACCGCGGGTGGACCCTTCTGGGATGGGGCGTACAATTTCCCGGGACAAAAGAGGCTGGAAAGCGCTGAGGGTGTGGAGGGGGCGTGGCATGGTTTGCCCCGCCCCGTGGGGGCGTGTTCTTCAACTGGGCGTGTCTTCCTTAGGGGCGTGTCCATCGCGGGGGCGTATCTCTGAGTGTCTTTCATGGGGCGTGTCCCTAGGGGCGTGCCTTCCCTGGGCGTGGCCAGGGAGCCGCAGCAGTGGAGTTTTGGGGGCTTGGGGGTCCTCGCCCCCTCGGTTGGGGCCGCCTTATCACATAGAGCTAAGCGGTGCTCCTCGCCCCCGCCCCTCACCCTCGATTCTGAGCGCTTCCCTGCTCCGTGCGCCCTCCTGGGACGGGTAATTGGCACAGGGACCGCTGGGCTTTTTTTATATCAGCTGATGAGACCTAATGGTTTCCATGGCTGCTCAAGGCAAGGGGGAAAAAAAAAAAAAAGAAATGAAAATTCTTCAGAAAAAGCCCTGGGAGGTGGCAACCCCCTTCCCGACCCTGCTCGGGAAGGGAGAGAGGAGAGGAGTTTGTTCCCCCCACCCCCTCAAAAAAAAATGACAGCCTGCAGGGCCCGCCTTGACTTCCTGCCCCTCTCCCTTTCCCCGCGTCCCCCCAATCCCCAGGCCAGCTCGACCCAGCGGCCCCAAATGGAAAACATCCAGGGATAATGACAATCCCTCTGGGGAGAGGATTGCGAGCCTGGGGTCTGGTACGCGGCACGGCACTCAGAACCTCGGTCACAAATGCTCAACGGGGCCTTTCCTGGGGGCCCCAGGGAGGAGTGAGGTCAAAGAAGGGGCGCTGGGATGGGGGGGCAGGGGAGGAGAAAGGGCTGGCGCTGGGGACAGGCCTGGCTGGCGGCTCCTCCAGCGCCCAGCATGCCTGAAAGAGGGGACACAGCTCAGCGCAGGCGCCTGGGGAGGGGGTGGGGTGGGGGACACCACCCTCCCCTGGAATCATTGCAACGACCAGGCAGCTGCTTGGGCCTGGACAGTCCTCAGGGGTCAAGGCAGCTGCCGCCTACCATGACCCTTGCACCCCCCCCAACACAGCGCAGGAAGGACCACAGTTCGCCCCAAGTCCTGCCCACCGCCAGCACCAGACAGGCAGAGGGCATTGGGGAGCCCCCATACCACCAGGGCTACATACAGGCCAGCCCTCCCACCTGGGGCGACCCTGCTGGCCACCCTCCTCCCCCAAACCCAGGCCTGCACCTGACATCGGTCTCTTGTTCTTGGGGTTCACCCAGGCCCCACCTGCCTTGCCCTGGGCAGCGTGCGCCCCTCTCATCTTCTCTGCTTCCCCACGTCTCAAGATCATCTCTCTCGCGCCCCTTCTGAGAACAAGCTCCCTGCTGCTTCACGAGCACCCCAAAACCAGGAGTGGGGGCTGCAGTCGCGCCCACCCTGAAATTCGGGCCCCTCCTGTTCCAGCTCCTCCAGGTTAGCCGCCACGTGACAGAGTCAGCCCCCCTGGTGCCTGGAGAGAGCCGAGGAGCCAGGCCCAGGGTCCGGGGGCCTGGCGCTGACAGGGTGGGGGAAGGGGGGACAGGGGGAGATCTGTGTTTGTTGCAGGCGGGCTGGAAGTCAACGTGGGAAAGAGCAGCCCAGGCCACGTCTCTGCTTGACGCTCAGATGTAGTGACTGGGATCTCTTTTCTATTACATGGCAATTTTCCTTTAAATTTCCCCCCTTTAAAAAAAAAAGAAAAGAAAATAAGGAAGCCGAGGCAGGCAGGCAGGCAGGAGAGCTGCAAGGGGCCAGGATTTGCATTTGCATTTTGCCAATGAGGCCTCTTGTAAGCGCAGCTCAGGCATAGGGCCTTATGGAATGCTTAAGAGATTACTAAGAATAAAATCTATTAATTAGTCATACTCAATTCCGCAGACACGACGTGCATCAGAAGTCGCTTCGCTCCCCTGTCTCCTTCCCTCCCGCGGGAGCTCCGGCCTCCCTGGGCTCGGCCATGTTAACACGGCAGCCCACCCAGACCCACGGCAGCCCACCCAGACCCACAGCAGCCCACCCAGACCCACGCTGGGGGAAAACAGCGTGGGAAGGACCCGGCCTTCCTGCCCCAAGCCCACACCAGCCTCAGGAGTTTTCTCCCTCTCTGGATCAGGCCCCTCGTCTCCTTCAGGGCAGGTCTAGGGAGATCTGCCCGTGCCATCCAAGGGGAAACTGAGGCCGGGCAGACGGACTGCAGGGCTGTGGGTGTATGGTTAGACCTTTTAGCTTGCTTCTGCTTTGGAAGAGGTGTCTTGTTTCACCCAGAAATTCTGGGTGTTTCAGAAGCCAACGGGGGTATGGAGTGGGGGTGGAGTTATCTGCTGATTCTAGAAGGTTCTGTTTGGTCCAAGGCAGGTGATGGAGGCCCAGAAGGGGAGGAACAGGTCAGGTGAGGAGCGCTGGGAGAATCCGACAGGGGCCTGTAGAAGGGCCTCGTCACAGGCCCTCCCGCCTGCACCCCTTGGGAGCCGAGGGTCAAGGGGCACCCAGGTCCCTGCAGCAACTCAGGTCCCAAAGCCAACCCGCTCCAGAAATCTGCTTCCCGCTGAACGTGCCCGAGCACGCCAGGGAGGCCGGGACTTCTGAGCCTCTCGCTGATGAGAAAGATGACACGGAGAACTGGATGCGGCAGGCACGGTGGGGCCGACGGGGCCTGGGGCTCACGGAGGCCCCGGTGCCCCCCACGGCCAGACCACGCTCTCAGAGCCGGGACTGGGCAGGGATGGAGGGAAGGAGGGTCCCAGCAGGAAGAGCTTGCCTGTCCCTGGGGGGGTCGGGGCAGGGGCTGGACAGGCGCCAGGGCAGGCGCTAACGAGCTGCTCGGGTGGAACAGACAGGCCGGCAATCTTTGTTCTAAGAAGGGAGGGAAGGGCTCAAACGCAGATCATTACCGTTTACAACCAAGCAAGTCAGCTCCATTGATTGGGGAGATGCAACTGCTCGGAGTGAGCGAGCGGGAGGGGGAATCCCTCCCTCTGGATGACCCCCACCCCCCAGGCTGCATGCAGAGCGGGGATTTTCTGCTGGGGAGAGGGGGAGGGGAGGGGGGTCCTCCAAGGGCCGCCTGCCAAGTAGACCAGGCCTGGGGGGTTGGAGCTCAGGCCTCTGGGGTGGGGGATGGAAGGGGGCCCACACAGGCCACCGCGCAGAAGTGGTCCCAGGGACTGGGCGTTTGCCTCGAACACAGCCAACCCAGGTTCGATTCCCAGCATCCCATAGGGTCCCCCGAGCACCGCCAGGAGTAATTCCTGAGTGCATGAGCCAGGAGTAACCCCTGTGCATCGCCAGGTGTGATCCAAAAAGCAAAAAAAAAAAAAGTGGTCCTGAACACAGCCGCAGACATCATTCTGCCCTGCCCTCGAGGTTACAAGTGACTTCAGGGGTGCAAATCCAGAGGACTTGGCCGTCGGGTCACGGAAAGATGAGGATGCAGAGAATCGTGGTTTTTCGGTTTTCTCTCTGCTCTGGGGACCGTGGGGAGTCTGTGCCAGCGAGTGAAGAGCGGAACCAACAGTGAAGGACAAACTGAAGGTCAGAGAAGACAAACTCTGGCCCGGCAAGGGAGTCAGGCAGTGAGCTCCCCATCCCTGGGAGCATTCAAGCATCTCCCAGGAGGGCGGGTGGGGGGGGGTGGCAGGTCCAAATCAACAGCCGACTCTGGCCAGAGCTGGCTCCTCCACTTCCTTCCTCGGGCCCCAGTCACCCTGCAAGGGCCCTATCAGAGACGGTCACAGTCTGCTCAGAATCGGTGGCCCCCTGCAGGCCCCGCCAGGCACCTGTGTTCCCAGAGATGTCTCCAGCTGCCCTGGAGGCCCCAGGAAGGAAGCAGGGCGAGGAGCCCGTCCACTGGGTGGGGGACAGAGAGAAGCACCTGCTGGGTCCCTGCTCCCCTAGAAAAGCGCACGGCCAACATCCAGCATCTGGGCCAGGCTGCCTCTGCCCGGGCCACTTCTCGCTCGCGTTTTCCAGCATTTATCATTTCTTTTGAAACGTTCCAAGTCCTTGCCTGAAATATCCACATTTGCTTATTTAAAAGACACAAGATTCCCAGGGCTCTTCACCCCTCCTTCTTGTCCCCCACCCCTGCATTTTAATTCTCTCTCTCCCTCCTTCCCTCCCTCCCTCTCTCCCTCATTCTCTCCCCCCCCTCCTCTCCCCCACCATGGCTGGGCTCAGGAGCACATAAAGAAAATCTGCAGGGGCATCCAGACCCCCCAAAAGGCTGGAGGGGCAGACCCGAGCTCTTC